GGTCCACTGGGTGTCGTCGGGGCCCTCCGGACCCGCATCAACCCGATTGACACTACCAGGGCCCGTGCGGTTGCGGATGTGCTTTGCGATGGCGGAGAACTGGAACGGTATTGCGACAAGGAGGAAGATGAAGGTGACGGAGAGGACCCAAATGAGGGGGAAGAACCAGATGTTGCATTGGAAGCTCATAACCGTGTAGTCTCCAACGCGCACAGCCAAGTTGATAACATTGAACACCGCAGCCCCGATGAAGAGGTACTCCGCAATGCTGGCGACCACGCCCCATCTTGAGCTGCGGATTCGGGGGATGAAGCGTTCACCCTGCACCATGGACAAGATGTCGGCTGGGGTTTCTATATGGAAGAGACGATCCAGGCAGAAGGCCGTGCTGCCCAGGGCGATGAGAATGGCAAGAAGGGGACGACGCGCGGAGAGCAGTGTGAGTTGGGTCATCGAGGGACCCATCATTGACAGCATTGAAGGAAGGATGCCGAGGAAAATGGCAGCGGATGCGATTTTTGCCTTTGTGGATTCGGATGTTTCGGTGAGGATGCAGTCGAGATGAAGATCGCAGGTTCGAGTATTCAGGTTGCGGTAGTCCGCGAGGTAGGCATTGAGGGTTTCATTGCAAACGCCCGTCGATATGTTTTGGAGTCTGGGGCCGAAGGTGCTGAACCAGTCCTGGAAGCGAACAGGGTTGCCGATTGCGAGTTGAGACATTGCTGTAGTCGTCTAAAGCAACGGCCTAAAAATGCAAAGAACGAATGACAGAGAGCACCTGGAAGTCAATAAAGCGTGGTATGGGATGGTTACACATTCTTATACAGGCGACAGCGCATCTTGGCGAAGTGGTTAATTGTGGTGGTGAGGCCTGATTTCAGCTTCTGCTGACATTAAAAGTTCCTCGAGTAATCAAACCTGCCGTGGATGTCAGCCTCAGCGTAAGTAGTCATCAGGGGCAATTACGAGCGATGAGTCTTGACTGCAACTCTGGAGTGTGGTGTCATTCCTCAACGTCGACTGGATTGGGTGTTGCAACGACCTTGGGTGGTCGCGCCGAAATTCTGATTGGGCCCTTCGTAGCTGCAACTACAATTGTAGCGAGTCGGTCCATCGGCGTCTTACGTGCATGAGCTCGTAGACCGGGTATGGTAGCCACGAGCGATGACAAAGGCTCACCATAAATAGACCTGCTGCAGAGTCAGCTTGTGCTCAAGGGTTAACTGCTTTCAGGACTTGGCATTACCGGGTATTCTGAGCCGGGGAGGCTTGATCGCGTGGTTGAGAAGCCAGACGTGTCGCGTGCTGCGTGAAGATAGGTCTGTGTCAAAGACTTTTATTCATCAATCTGTATCTACCAACTTGAGGGTATCTGTCCTTTCCTCTCGTGCGAGATGCCATCTAGTACCAAACGCCAAAAGCCATTCTGGAGGATCCGTCGCCTCCCAAACCCAGAGCCTCTAATCAAAGCCAATCATCATCAACGCCCAAAGTCTTCATTCAAGCGTTCTCGTTGCGGGTGCCCCAGGCCTCGGTGCTCAGGGTGAGCCAAGAGTAGACGTCGACAACCGGGTAGCAGATGTCGAGCAGGATGGCAGCGCCAAGGTGGCCCTTCGCCCAGGGGTAGCGGCGAACAAAGTCGCGGTAAGTGGCGATCATGGACAAAAGGTACCACAGGCCGACGAAGTAGCTGGTAAAGAATGTCAGTACATGATCATGCTGGGAGACGTCGGTGGTACTTACGCGACGGGCGACTTCTGGTAAACGCCAACGATGAAGGCGATGATATGGACCCAAGCGATGATGGGGCGAAGCAGGCGCTCTACGAGCTTGCGAGCCATGTAAGGATGCTTCCTACGAAGTTATCAGTACAACATCATAGGTAGCGCGGGAGATGAGACGTACTTGTAGAGCTGGAGCAGGCCAGGCTTGTAGACGATAGTCACCAGGAAGGACTGAATGGCGTTCCGCTGCCAGCGGACCATCTGACGCAGGAGGGCGCTGTCGCGCATGACCAGGGTGGTAATCTCCGCCTCGGGAGCATTCTGAATGGACATCTTCCATCCCTCGGTCAGCAGCCAGCGGGTGATGAAGACGTCGTCACCAGTGTTCTGACGCTTGCCGCACCAGTACTCGTGGGTGATCTCGTACTGGAAACGAGGGTCCTGGGCGATCTCGGCGCGCATCATGAGGGTGCGACCGACGAGGCAGAAGACGCTACCATCTGCGGTGAATCGGACAGCCTGGACATTGTTTTGGTTCTCGAGAGAACGAAGAGAGGCAACCTCCCAAGGGGTGATGACGTTGGGCTTGCGGCGGGCCACGGGGATATGGGCACTGGAAACCTGGTGAGAAAGGATGACAGAAGATGGAGAGGCGATTCAGACATACCTCTGCTTGCCAACAGCGCCACCGAGCTTGGGGTCCTCAAAGGGAGCCAGAAGGTGGGGAAGAACCTCGTACTTCCAGAAGGCATCGTCATCAACCAAGGCGAGAATCTTGCCCTTGGCGTGCTTGATGCCAACAAGCAGCTGCTCGCGCTTGTTGGCGACATCGGCAGTCATGAGGCTGATGCGCTCATCTCCGTCAGTAACCACAGGGCGAACCAAGTCGTAGACGCGCTGGAGGTCGCGCTCAATGGTCACGATAATGATCTCCTTGGGCTGGTTGGCGAGCCACAGCCGCAGGCAATCGGTGAATTCGTCGGGAGTGTTGATAGTGGGAACAATGATGCTGACATCACTGCTGTTGTAGGTAGGCTCATCGGGGAGAGGAATGGGCGTGTAGGCCTCTGCGAGACGCTTGGTCTTGTCCTCCTCTAAGAGGTAGTACATCCTGTGAACAAGCAAGTGAGTCTGGGGAAGGCGCGCCGGAAGAGGTGAGGGGAAACTTACCAGAGCCCGCCAAGAGTATAACTGGCGATAGTGGCGACCATGATTGTGTTGGGGGATGTTGGTATGTGTCTTTGTCTTGAGGTGGTGGTTTGTGAGTTGTATAGGAGAGATTTGTTTGTTGTGGTGGTTTGTGGGAGAAGAAGCTTTTGGTGGTGACTGCGACGCGAATTATTTTATTGAGAGAGTGATGAGTCTGAAAATTCACTGCGTGGGGCAGGTTGAGGTGAAAGAAATCTCTGTTCAGACGGTTCTCACCTTTCAGGAAGGAGAGGCGCGCAAAGAGGAAGGAACGAACCCAGTGCCTGGAGTGAACAACCTATGTGTGGTAAATCCAATGAAAGGATGACAATCTTTTGTAGAGTTCTGGGTGATTCCACGTGATCTTCAAATCTTTGCTTCAATTCTGGATAGTTGGAAGTTGCAATCATTATTTAGCTTTGACAGGTTAATAAAAGTGAAGGCATCTACATTTTGACCCTGCAAGGTGTCACAAGTGTGGAAGTATTGGGCATGATGCTGGAGCTTTCAACCTGTCATCAAGCATGTTAAACCTTTGGTAACACTCGAGGAAAATAGAGAATTGTCCAATGGTCTTCCGGTAGAGAGTGAAAATGTTTATTGGTAGACCAAGTCTTGGTTCCCAGCCGTCCATGTTCCCAAGATGTCCGCCCCAATCTCCTAAAGCGAGCCAGGCTTGGGCTTGTCTTTCCAAGCTTCCAATAGTCGGAAAGGTGATTCTGACCTGTTCATTGAGGATTAGCTAGTTTCAAGGCGATTGTCTCCAACCATGGTCGTCGAGATGGATGCCGCTTAGAGGGAACTCACTACTGAGGTGGCAATTCACCTACCAGTTCCATCTCCCCGATCCCAAACGCGGAAGACCCTCGCAATCAACGCCGCTTCTTCTTGTCTCCTGGCAGCGCGAAAACGCCGCTGCAATCTCCTCCACTTCCAAACCACAGCGGCTGCCACTGGAACGATGAATAATCCAAATGTTTTGAGCTCATCGTCGCCAAGCTTGGGCACCAAATCTGCGAACTCTGCGCTGTGTGTTCCGAAAAGACCGCCGATCCACCTGCAGACCGCCCGCTCCCTTAACATGTTCGAAGGTGTGGGGTTCTCGAAATCGCTGCCTGCATAGGCAGGAAGGAAAATTTGCAGCAGCTGCATGAGGAGAAAGAGCTCTTTAACGGCAACCACCATGACGCTCTCCGCCTCGGATTCTGGAAGAACGGCGTCAGGCATCTCAGACCCAAGTCCGTAGAGGGTGATTATGAGGTCGAGTGCAAGGAGGCCAATAGTCACGCACTCCCAAAGCTCGATACGATGGTTGAGGCTCGTAATCAGGTTCATGTTTGGAGATGGCGTGGAAAGGAGCCGTCACGGAAGGTTGAACTCAACACCGGCGACCTCGCATGGATGCATGCAACCAAGAAGCCAGAGGGACTGTGATTTGCTCTCTGGGAGATTTGTAATTCTCCGACAAACATGAACAACTAAGACGAAATCTGGTGACATGTCCATGAGGTCTGCAACTCACCAAATGGCTTGTCCGATGATTTCTGCACGGAGACACTAGACCTTGCTGTGCTATCAATAAAGCGCAGTGTGGCTCCATGAGCCCACAAGCTCCTGCCTCTCGGGGGAGACCCAATACAAATAGTAAATGGGAATTGTGAGCTAAAAGAAGACTCAATGAGTCAGCCAGAGGTTTTGAGGCACGTTTCTCGTGGTCAAGACTCTGAGTACTTAGTGTGGTATTGGATAACCGAGATTAAGACTCATTCAGTACTTTGCAACACAGTTCATGTGTTAAAGGTAGTAACTGTCTGTCCTTTCTTGGGGACTACGATCCATGTATGTTTCGCAATGTTACTTGGTACTACCTAGACATGCAGGTATATCATTTGTCCTTGCCTCATAACATCCAATGTTCTTTAATGACTTACGTGTTCAATTCTCGATTCTCTCTCTTGTCTTTTTTGATCCTGGTTCTATGGATGCTTTTGGTCTCTTGCTCCTAGCCCGCTTGCCATCCTTTTCGTCCTTGTTGTCTTTATGATTGCCACCCTTGTTATCTTTACTGCCAACTTCGTAGAAACTCAATCACGGGGCGATGATACGCAATACGCGACCGGAATGACAGCCAATGAAGATTACTGAATCTCGAACAGCTGATGCAGTGGGTCGATATTCTGGTGGAATCCATACCGCTTTCTCTGAATCTATCAATATCCAATCATTCTCGGGGCTGAGACCAAATTCGATTGGTAATAGCCTGGTTTGGATTGTTGATGCGTCCATGGAAGTATCTTCGGCCATGCGTAGGCTGCCCGCGCTAGTCAAAAGTCTCACATTAGATGTCTGATCAAACCTGATCCTATGAGACCATTTAACATGTAATGTTTGTTGTAGCTCGCCTGTTGCCACATTCCATAGCCGAATCGTCTTATCAAGGGATGATGACACTGCCAGTCTTCCGTTCGGGGAAAATGTGACAGCCGTGACCAAACCTTCATGACCGTGGCACGAGCTTTGGCTTTCGTCCGCTATATTCCAGAGCCGTACCGTTTCGTCACGTGACGCCGACACTATCGTCCGGCTGTCTGATGAGAATGCAATGTCTGAGACCATGTAGTTTAAGAGTCGATCGCTGTGCTTCTCGAAGATTTGACGAATTGCACCGGTTTCTAAGTCCCAGAGCCGGAATGTGCCATCATGGCAACCCGATACTATCGTTTGGCCGTTGGGTGAAAATGCAACAGTCAAACCTTCGTACACATGGTCTTGACCGATGAGACTCCTCAGAATAGTGCCTGATGGTACATCCCAGAGACAAATCCTACCATATGAGGCTGTTACCAGTTGACAACCGTCCGGCGAGAAGGCAAATGATGTTATCCCGTTTTTGCTAGCCACATCATGCAATATCTTTTGGTTCTTTCTTGTCAACACATCCCAGACCCAAACGACCCCATCCTCGAACACCGAGGCCAGCAGACGACCGTCGGGGGAGAAGGCTATCGTTGACGCTTGTCCACTGTTACCCAACAGAGTTTGCTCGTATTTGCCGCTTGTGCCATTCCATAATTGAATTGTCTTATCATCCGAGATGGAAGCCACGATGTGCCCATTGGGTGAAAAGACCAATTCCCTGACTATGCTGTTGTGGCCATCGTGCGACTGGGAATGAGGCATACGCATTGCTGCATTCCATAGTCGGATTGAACTGTTGGACGATGCCGTTGCAAGAACTTGGCTGTCAGGTGAAAATTCCATCACATGAGGATCATGATACTCGTCTTCGACCAATTGCAACTGATTTCCCGTTGCCACTTCCCAAGTTCGTATGGTCCCGTCTGATGATGCAGACGCTATGACTTGCCCATTGGGCGAGAAGACGGCAGTACTGACACCCGCACTGTGCCCGTCAAGAGTTCGGTGATACTCCCCTGTCATCAAATCCCAGATTTGAACCGTCTTATGTTCTGATGCTGTTGCCAGTAGCATGCCATTGGGCGCGAAACTGACTGAATGGATACTGCGCCATAGCTCTTCCGCGTTTAGTGTTTGTCGACAGGTTCCTCTCTCCACATCCCAGATACGGGTTGCTCCATCGGAATATCCTACGGCTATGAGTTGTCCATCTGGCGAATATTGTATGGGTGACTCATTCGAGATGTCTTCGTGATCCGTTATATGTCGACGCAAGCCCTTTGTGACGTCCCATATCTGGAATGTTCCATCTTTTGACGTCGATGCCAGTGTTTGGCCGTCCGGCGAGAAAGTAACTCGGCACACCCAATCATGACGACCACTAATTATTTTCACAAGTACCCCTCGGTCCGTATTCCACAGACGAACGGTTGCATCCTGCGAAGATGAAGCCAAAAGATAGCCGTCTGGAGCGAAGGCGATCGACGTTACGATCCTTCTGTGACCCTCAAGAACAGCCCGTAGTGAACCAAAAGCCGTATCCCAAAGGTAAATTTTGTTCCCATCCTCAGCGGATGCTAGAAATTTACTGTCCGAGGAAAAAGCCACAAATGTGATCATTTCTCGGTGCCCGTTCAGTTTACACCGGATTAGACCAGACGTCGCATCCCAAAGGCGGATTGTTTGGTCTCTTGACCCTGATGCAAGAAGGCGACCATCTGCCGAAAACGCAATTGCCGTGACACGGGCTTTGTGCCCATCGAGGGTTTGCCGATGCGCGTCCCATTCTTGGTCCACTCCTTTGACGTTGACGAGGCCGTCCTACCGGTCATGCCAGAACCTTTGGCGTATTTGACTTGTAATTGGAGCAAATAAAAGCGACGACGCGTAGGTTTGTAGAGGGGCCCTTTCGATTATGGACCAAAACTTCATGAAAAATCTTTTGGCGTCTGCCATAAAGCGTATCATGTTTTGTGGTATGTCGGAAAAACGCTGAGGATATTAGTGTCAGATTCAGTGAGATGAAACCACATGTACTCACTTGAAATGTCCGGAGAAGCCTGTCCACAAGGACTATCCCGCCTCCCTTAATTCTCAGAAGAGCGATGGCTTCTAACCAATGAAGAAAATGTATTTCTAGGAAGTCTTTGACCAAGGTAACGGCCTGGGGACAGTTTGCATCGTCAAGAGACCCAGCTGCAAAGTGGTCAATCCAGTGGATACAAGAGTATCCAGCTGTCGACAGTGGGTTGTCATCAGGCGGCTGAACATCATCGATAAGAGTGTCTGGAATGATCAGACTATAGATGTCGCGCCTGAGCGTGTTAGACATTAATCGTAGTGACTTCGTAAAGATGATACGATGTTCATGGGCTTCACCATGTAGATGAATTTGTTTTGACGCACTATCCTTCAAAACGTCTGCGGCTGACTGATGTACAAAGTACACGATGTCATGGCGGATAGTTAATATAGAACCGCAGAGGCCAACAATTTCCTCTAGGCTCTCGAGGTCAGCTGGAAAACTAGCCGGTAAACATAGGAGATGCAGCATCTCTTCTATGGCCAGTGGCCGATGCGCGACCAGCAACAGTCCAAGGACCTGCTTGCAAAAGTTTGCGTCAATTGACCCTTCAATATGATTCAACATTCGCGTGTAAAGAGAATCCAAGCCTGGTGGAAACGTATTCAATTTCGCAAGCGTGTGCCATTTCCTCACCTTGTCACTCGCCAGTTCCTGGCAGACCAGAGATACCCACAGGAACGTGTCGTTTGAATTGAGTGACAGGTGTCGTCGAACAGCATTGCCTAGTTTGTCGTCATATCCCTTGAGGCGTGCTAGTTGGCTTGCTTTGTAGCTAATGTATCTGCCAACAGCAATCGACACACATTGCCTATTCAGCTCTAACGAAAGTCGAGCCTTTTGCGTGGCGTCATCCAGAGCGTCTTCAATGATGAGCCAGTTGCGGCTTGAGACGATCAGCCTTACGCCGGAAGATGAAGACGACGATAAATGTACGATCAGATGTAGGAGCTCAGCGAGATTGGTTTCGCACTCGTCTAGCGCGTCGATAACAAGATAGACGCATTTCAAGCTAGGGATCTCTAGTAAATCGAGAAACATCGTCGATAGAGCGTCCCATGCGTTGACGCCCTCAAACAGTTGCTTGCCTGCGTGGTCAGATCACCTTGCTAACGATAATAAAGCCGAAGAGTTTGTGTCAGCTATGCTACGAAGAGGTTGTCGCCTGGGAATTTATCAACGGCCGTCTGATGACCTTGATATTCTTTTTGATGATACCTACACCTATGAACCCATGAGCATCATATGTGCAGACTGCGATAGATAAAGGCTTTCTATAGGGCCCCTTGCGAGTTCTAAGGACCCGAAATACACTACGGGCTCATCGCTTCCGGCGATCGCGTGGTGAAGAGCACCGCGAACCGGAACGAAATCATTCAGAACGTCGGCGATGTGCTGTACTTTGAGATGGAAGCAGCGGGACTAATGACCGAGTTCCCATGCATCGTCATTCGGGGGATTCTGATTACGCCGACTCTCACAAGAACGACGATTGGCAGCACTACGCAGCTGCGACCGCGGCCGCGTGCACGAAGGAGCTTCTCAGCTACGTCAATCCGAAGATCGGGTCTGAGGCGGCGGCGTCTTCCGCTGGCTTACCAGAGCAGAGCAATGGTCTGGCGGGTCATCATGTCTTCCACGGCAAAGGTATCCAGCATACTGGCAGTGGTAACTTCTCTGTGGGGAATGATTTCAACATCAGTTGAGAAGGATCGCGGAGGGGATATGAAGATATGAGCGTAGCGCGGCAAAGTGAACCTACATCTTTAGCCTTTTTGTAGCTATTTGTGCATGTCCCGATGATGAAGAAGTCAACGATTTTGCTAGCCGGGCAATTTCCTGTATAACTTCGACGGTATCGTACCCAATACTTCTGCAAGGAAGACATCAGTAGAGAAAACGATAGCGACGCTGGACGACGACGGAGAACAATGGGAGCAACAATAGGTAAAGGCAAGTACCGAAGAACCATACTCAATCTAGCACAGAATACGAGTCACATGCGAATGTGTGAACACTTCCAGTATAGCATGGTCTAAACCTTCGTCGAGATTGTAGGGGAACAGACACCGGCTTTTTTAACTTGCGCTTCTAAGACAGAGTTCTAACACCCCGCATTATGCTCTAGCTTGAGCCTATGGAATTCATTTCTGCAATCAACAGGTTCTTCCTATGCGATATATAACGCAAGGTAGTCCCGCCTCTTCACAGGCACTTCTTATGCGCAAGCTTCAATCATCTAGTACCACACCACAGCTGTCACATCATGGACTACAATCGATATGTCTTCACCAACATCGTTTGGATGGACTCCTTTCTGTTCTTCTATTGGGATATTCGGCGATATCGACCGGCCGATGCGGAAAACATTGACCGACTGATCGTGGACTACTTTCAACACCAAGAACCCAGCATTACTTCCGGGCATGAGCCCTCGTCTTGGGATAAGCTGCTGTGTCATCTGATGCAGTCATTAGCTTGTCTTCTAGGTATAATAGCCAGACCCCGATAACCTAGACGACATGCTGACATGACGTGGGTTCTAAAACCGACCCAGAGCAAGTTCATAGATACGACTGGCTTACGCACAGACTAGGCCAAGTCACTCCTTCGCGACCATATGTCGACTGGCTTGCACTTGAGCCCATCATCTATAGGGTGCCTGCCGGAGACCCCAGAGACCGACTGCAGCCGCTCTGTGTGCACATCGACAGGGCCTATGAGCACGGCAGGGAAGAGTCACTGCAGTGGCTTAATACTTGGAAGGGAAATCCGTTTCTCGACGAGTTTGGATATGCGCACCAGTCTGAACACTGGACCGTGCCGCTCCCAACGCATGTAGACCGCCTTTTGACCCTCGCCTGGAGATACCAATCGGAAAGTTTCACGTGCAACAGACGTTGGTGTAAAACTGGCAACTGCCAAAGTCCGATGACAACATTCGATCTCTTCCCCACAGCGAAGCTGGATAGGAGCTTTCGCCTCGTGCTTCAACACACTGCGAGCGGAGACATGGCGCAGTTGAGAAGCTGTTATAACCACGATCGATATTGCATTCCGACACATGGCATGTCTCCTGATGGTTACGAATTTCGTGCCGGCACCCGCATGATCAACCTTGGTAAACGCATCTTCACAAGCATGCTGCTCTGGGTCGATGAGATGTGTCGAACAGGGCGATTGCTATCTTTCTGCGATATTTTGAACCGGCGACTAGAAGAGTGGCCTCTTTCAAACGCAGAAGACACGCTGAGAGTAAATCATGAGTTGTGGGAAGCGATAAGGAACTTTGGCTTGTGGCCGGTCTCAACGAAAGGAGAGCTCTGGAGCGATGGGATCGACACTCCAACCAAATCTGAAACTCTTTCGGTGACGGGCTAGCTGTGGGAAGGAACGGACCAGAATGCTGAAAACAAGAGATCTTTCGTTAGTAAATAGCCCAGGCAAAGATTTGAATGAGTTGTATGTTCTTGACATCTCAAACTCCTCGCTGTCTTCGGCGTATGTTCTCGTCACGAGATTGGGGCTTCCGCGCCTGCCCATCGCGACAACAGGGTAGGCGAAGGTTCCCACCACATTTACGCCCACCCAGATACCTCTTCGGGCAGTGTTAATCCATCGTACGTGTCCGTTGAGAGGTTTTCGAACTAAACCTAGCCCTTCCTTCCTGACGAGCATCGTCTCCCTCGTCTCCTTCCTGCTTCGTCTCCGTCTTCCTTCGTCACTATCGATCGCAGCATATCTTCTGCCCAAAATGAGTTCCCTCCGATGGAGTGACACAATCCTCTTCTTTTGCTAGGACATCAAACGCTACCACCCAGAGCACGAGAAACGGGTAGACGTGCACATCAGAAACTTCCTGCAGGAGCTTGCTCCTTCCGCGTTTGAAGATCGCTCGCCTGACTCGTGGGACGATGTGCTCTACCGTCTCATGCGGTCGTTCAGATGCCACCTAGGTAAGCAAGCCAGCTTGAATATTCTGACACAGGCGCAGGCCAACCGAGGAAGGGGCTGACGCAATACAGGATCCAACATTTCCCCAGCCGCGATGCACAATTACAACATATTGCTCGATAACACCAATCTTACGAGCAGTCCAGCAAAGCCATAAGTCGACTGGTTCAACATCGAAAAATACTACGACTCCCACGAAGCAGAAACCGCCACCCAAGACGTGCTTGCCATCCTGAAGGAGATGGATGCCGCTGCTCACCGGGACGGCCCAAAAGTCAACTGCTTCAAACCCATCTCCGTGTGGTACCAGAATCCTGTCTTGTGCGAATTCACGAACGCACATATGACCAATCCGTGGACGGTGCCCCTCCCTACGGACATGGAAACGAATGTTCGGTTCGTCATCCCGAACTTCAACGGCGACATTAGCAAGACTGCCTCTGTACGCACTCTGGTCACAGGATACGCCGGCCTCAAGTTGCATCTCTGTTTCGAGAAGGATCAGTGTGGCCTGCAGCCGTTCGACGTAGTCCGGCTGGCTCTCAACGGGTCAGAACTTACTGTCATCAACGCCACTGCGATCAATCTGCTCAAGTATTGCTTCGCCACCGTATTGCGGTGGTTCGGGCGAATTTGCGCGGAAGGCAAGCCCCTCCCTGGTCCTGGCATTTCAAAGCTTCGATTGGAGAGGATTGAGGAAGGCACATTCTACAGGCTGGATCTCGAGAAAGAGCTATGGGAGGCCGTGAGGGACTTTGGGGTTCAGCGCGGACGGGCAGCCCAGAGATATAATCAGCGTCGCGCCGCGCTGTCAGAGGCAGCAGCACCCGCTGAAAACCGAACCCATGGAAGGACGAACGGTTTGAAAGTCTGGCCGGAATATCCAAAGAACTTTCAGCCGAATCGATTGAATTATTAGCCTGGGCTTCTGTCTTTGGCATCCTCATTACAAGTATCACACATGGCAGCCGCGCGAGTCAGGAACATGACCTGCTAACTTCGTTTTCCTGTCCGAAGCTAGCATTCAGCATCGAGAGAAAGTCAAAGTGTGTCTATCCTTTTTCCTTGTTCGTACTTCCGTACACCAGGTTAGACCCTCCAGGTACACCTTGTTGACTGCCGTACGACTCTGAGGAAGACATTTACAAGGGCCAAACAGGATCACCTCTGTGTACATCCATCGAGGACAGCCCACCGCCATACTATGACTTAAGAGTTTTATTGCCACAGAGTACACCTGACCTTTTCAAACGACAGAAAGAGCATCGCCGGCAGCTCATGTCCTGAAGCCGACAACAAGGTGAAAACCTGACCTGCGTAAAATCATTTCGATCCAGACACCCTATTTCAACACAGCCCCAGACCGGCCCCAAGGCAGCTTTACGAGCATGTCTTTGATGGATGGCAGATGAGCCACAAAGGCTTGCCGAAGTACAGTGACACACTTGAGAAACCACAAATGATGACGACAAAGAGCGCAGAAAGCTGTCCTTCAGGAGGTCCATGGCAAACGAATGGGGATCAAAGATTGCGGCGCGCCAAATGATTGATACCCCTCGCCGGTGTCAGAGGTCTCTCAATCGGGCCCTTTGTTGTTTTCTTTGCATGCTAAAGGCTCAGAGATGCTTTGCGAAGTTTGAGGAAGGGATGCTTTGCGAAGGATATGGAAGAGATGATGCGAGTCGTCAAGGTTGCAGGGAGAGGTGCCTGATGAGCATGGCTTATGCGAAGCGAAGCGCGACATTGCTGCGGTGACATTCGAGGCGGAGAACCCAAAAGCCATCAACCGACGGGCTAGCGCAAGGCATCATCCAGTGGGAAAGCTCTGAGCTGTCTCGCGAATGCGCGAAGTTTCGTCATATTGATCTAGGAAGCCTGGCCATTGGTTGCGTGGTGTCGTCATGATGCTGCGGCTGGAAGCACCGCCAGGCGGTCGAGCAAAGTCTTGTATATTGAACAGAACATGCGGAATATCACTTCGGAGAGGAATCAAATGCATTTATGAAGTCTAGCTCTGTTTGCTATCGAGTACTGTCTATGTATTCGTGAATGCGATGAAGGGGTATTAAGGGTAATGTGTCCATAGGAAGAGAATGAGCCAAATGAAGTCTGTGTGGTCTAGGCGAGGGCTATGTGCCCGAGGCCAGAAGACGTCCTGTGGTGACTCGTTTGAGGAGAAAAAGGAAATGAAGAAAAGGAAAAGCAAAAGGTAAGGACGAGGCTGCGAAAATCCGATCGCCGTCCAGTCCACCGAGTCCAAAACGTCGCAGCATCCTTCTCTGGTCCTGCCAATTGCAGACGTCGAGCCTCGTGAAGTCGCAAGATTGAATGACAACGTATCCGGTGCCGTCGGCAGGCAAATCTTGGTGGCAGAAGGCCATCCCGTGCGTAATCTCGCAGTCGGCTGCTTCTTCCCAGAAGCCATGTCATTATCGTGTGTCGTCATTTGGAAAGCATCGCAACGACTAGAAAACTGGTCAGAGAAGTGGCCGCGCAGGTCTTGCAAAGTGGTTATTTCTCTTGACTTACCCAAAGTACTTGGTGTGATCACATTGCGTCTGTCACCATGGCAGAGCGTGCCGTTGATGTGATGAAGCATGGCTGCGTGCAGAAAGACGGCGAGATCTGCATCGATATTTTTCATGCGGTGTTTTTTTTCTTTTTTTTGGATTGGCCGACGAGCCAGTAGAGAATCGGCATTTGCCTTGGGAAATCATTTCTTGCCATCCTTGCGAAGTGCGATACGATGCGGTACAAGGAGGAGTTTTCCGGAAACATTAACCTCCCTTACGGGAGAGATGAAGCGTTCGCTCAGTCTCACGTTTCGCCGGTCCAGAATGGGTTCGATTCTGAAAGTCTTTTCAGTGTAGTCGCGATCATCAGTTGCAGGGATGAATTGCTCAATGCTGTCTGCAATCTTGGCCACCGTGAAGTTGCCCTTTGGGTCGCATCGAGAGTGAAGACGGCCGATGTGGGGGAGAACATTGCGTTGGTCATCCATAACTGGAGGACGATAGAAGTCTCTCATCTCGGAGTCGTTGTCGCGAACCCGGAAGTTGTAGATGATGTAGACTGCGCCCGGCTGGCCAGTGTGGTCGTCGATTCGGACAACAACTCCAAATCCAGTCGGGTCCCACGGACCTTGATCTTGGACTGAGTCTCTGTAAATCTCCGACGGGTGACGATTGCTACGTCCCCGGAAGGCCCAAAGAGATCCGATCTGTGCGAAGATGAATCTGTCGTCCATGGGGCTCGGCGTATGGATGACATCATGGGCTGTAGCAATCTTCATAGTATTGGCGGGAATCGTCGGCTCGATGTTGTCGAGATCTGTGGCGTGCTTGACTTCGATACCTAGAATGCTGTGATGAAGGAGATAGCCTCCACGGTGGTCTTTGTGGTTGAAACCATTCGGCAAAAGGTATGACGGGCCAGGTTCGATGCCATAGCCGGTCATGATTCCGCCATGAGCAGCGGCTCCGATGATCACGAAAGAATTGAAGATCATCTCCATCATCCAGTGCCATTCAGCTCGACTGGTAGAGTTGAGGAAGTTTGTGCTCATAATCTTTTGCATGCACTGTTTGGGACTCAGGGAGGGAAGGGTGTTCTGGAGTTGCTTCGTGCATCGCGCAGTTTGCCACTCGAAGAAACGTCGCTGCTTCTCTTTGTCTGGCCATCTTTCCGCGGCTTTTCGGAATTTCTTGATAGTACCCCATTGATGGTTTTGGCGAAGCAAACGCGCGAAGTCTTCGAAGTCCTGTTCCTCATGGGACAGGACCTTCCGGAAACGCGGCGCGGGAGCGGCCGTCTGAGAGGGCTCCAGTGAAGTAAGAGACATGGTGGCCTATGTCTTCCCTATGTACATGTCAGGTTTCTGCGTGATGGAGAATGAGATAATGGGGAACTTTACCTGGTGGCTGGTCGTGGAGAGTGACGTAGGATGGGCGAGAGATTGGAGATGGACGCTTCGCGATTGGCTCAGTGTCAGACAGCGTCGAGAAGTTTGCGCGAAGAGCAGGACTAGAATAATATTCATTAGCTGGATTCGGAGATGTCTCATGAATGAAGGAAAATACTTGTCGCTGTTTGTTTGGGTGCAGAAAGAACCGCCTTTCCGCACTCAAAATCCTGAGTTGAAAAAGAGGAAAGAATGGAGGAGAGAAGTTGCAGACTTTCAAATGTGTGGTGCCTGCTTCGACGTGGGTAAGGTGAGTTTTGCGCTAAGACAAGGTAGCGTTGTGGACAGGGTAGGTGGGGAATCACAGCCGCTACCTACGCTTAGGTAAGGCAGGGTGACTGATACGTACCTTACCTCAGGTAAGATGAGTGTGGCCTACCTAGGCACCTCAGATCGCTACGTACCGCGGTAAGACCCCACCCCACTTAACCGATCACCCCCCATAACCGATCAGCCGAAAACGGGCAATTTTGCCCTCACGACTTCGAACGTCAATGTCTTCTCATTTATCGCAACCACTATAAAAGGCCCTCAAAACGAAATTCAAAGCACCAGCTGGCAAATTGAGCTACCTGGTCTTCTGCTGATGTTAAATGATTAATATACAGCGTTACCGGACGCGCTGCTTCGCGCTTCGCAGCCTCTATAGCCTTCTGCTTAGCCTCTATAATCTGTGGTATTATTACGAACCTCTCATTAGGTTTTGGCTTGACTCTAGCATGCTGATATAGCTTATATTGATCGATAAGTGCCTGGAGATAGGCTACCTCCTGCTGTAGTATCGAGATCTTCATGTTGTTGTTGTTAATTGTCTTGCCAGCTTTAGTGAAGACTAGCGTACGTGCCATATGATCCCACTCCTCCCCACGCTGACGGCCCTCCCATATCGACCTGTACCTTTGAAGGTTTGCTGACTTGGTGGGAGTAGTGATAGTGAACTGTGATGGTGTTTTGGGTACTTTGGGCAGCTGGGGATCCCATAGGGGTGCCCTGGGTACATCTGTAGGTGCTGAGACTATCAGGAACGGACTTATTAACGGCCAGGCTACGTTAACAGGCCATAGCCCTATAGCTAGCTACCTAGCACGGATATTTCTGGTTGTAAATGCATCGCTGCGGGCCTGGAGGTAGCAGCATAGAAAATTCTGCTTCCCAATAGGTGCAGAGTTGAGTAGGAGTCCACAATCACACGTGGCTCCATAGAAGGCCTTCTTAAGGGGTGAGAAGATCGATAGGTTGAGTGGCTAGGTGATATGAGAGCTGTGGGCAGGCAGATAAGCTAAGTAAACCTGCTTACAGTAACATAACCATATAAAGTCGTCAGATATATGACTTCCATGGCTATCAATAACTAGCAACCACTTAGATCGTAGACGCTTGGCCTCTGCTGCTGTATGTGGGATGAAAACCTTCTTCAGCCACTCGAGACCTATGGCGTTAGACGTCCAGCTATTAGTCAACATAGTGAACTGCTAGGAAGCAAAATCAGATATCTCTAAGGGGAACTATTGCTGCTAAACGCTCTGACTAGTGAAGATCACTAGTAGAGGCGTGGTTTAACTAGTAGCTGAGATATACTTGAGTATGGTCGTCTATACATGGTTTTTTGAGGCCTGGACGTACATAGCTTGTCTCTAGGGCTTGCTTAGTACTAAATAGTCTCTATCTGATCCCTCTATTAAACCAATCTCATCTATATTCTAACGTAGGGATAGGGGGATATCCTTTACCTCTAGTAGATCAAATATCTTGAACAGATCCTTGATCACAGCGGCATTGACGTCCTTCACGCGTTTGGAGTCGATAGCCCTTGCTTTCAGCGTCTTGATGATAGGGTTTTGGCGCAAGAAGCCCTCTATCCACTTCCTGCCGAGGGGGCGCGTATCGCCGCCGGCGCAGATGATGCGACTCGCCAGCTCGTTGACTTGTTTGTGGGTAGGGGCGACGCCAAGAGAGCCCTACGTAGTGACCCACAATACTAGAGATGCTTCCTAGGTAGGCATAAGGCGTTAGTATATAGATCTGGCGTCCTTGCGCGTTCCCCCGCCTCTGAGACAGCCGCAGAGCGTTGCATACGGGATGCCCCAGTCGCAAGAGGCTTATCAGATGCCCATGCCACCCAACACAGCTGCCTCAGCATTTTTAATATGCTCTTCAGTGTAACTCAGCATGCTGAATCGACTAGTATTTTCAAAAGAATTAATTTATGGTGTTGTGGTGTGATTAACGCGGTGGGCGTAAAAGACGTGGTGGTGTTGTTGTTGGCAAACGCGTCGTTTTCGGCTGATCGGTTATGGGGGGTGATCGGTTAAGTGGGGTGGGGTCTTAGTGCTGCCTACCTACGATACCCAGACCAAGTGTCAGTGAGAATACTGCAACCTAGAAGTCCTCACGGTTTAGGTATCGAAAGGTCTACGTAGATATCTGCCTTGGTGGGGAGTGTTGCAACTTCACCACACGGTCAGGCCTCCCCACTCCTTTCGCCAACTTCCAGGCACCGAATCACTTGCGATCGTCTTGTTCTTCAATGGCCCCCGTGACTAAGCAGAAAGACGTTGCTTTTCACAAGGGAAAAAAGGCGACATCTCAACACACAGTTACCGGGTTTATCCACGACGTTTTTTGCAAGTCGATATGGCTGATTATGATGGATGGTTTTTGGACTTTTCCTACATAGTACCTTCCATATTCAGGCTATTGACCTAGTGCGAGCGAGGCCATGCATGCGGGAGTTCGGTGGCCCACTTAATAACCTCAGACGGGCGCGTTACCAATAACGGAGAGCAACGAAGATTGGGTGTGAGACAGGTGGACTGCAGATGCCAGCAGTATCGGGTAAGGCACTGATTATTTCAAGTGGGTGTATTGGAACTGAGCGCTGTATAAGTAACGTTTCTGCTTGTCCTTTTTCTTTGACATGTCGAGGTAGCTGCGGCAACCCGGCTCGTGGTAGGCTGATGGGCGCTGCAGAATCTCCCCACTCTAGACTCATCTCTAGGTAGACAAACCGGCAGTCATGATCTTCTTTGATGCTATGCCTTCCCACCCCAACGTGAAGTAAGGTGCCGGCAGATTAGATAACAGCCTGTTGCTTATGGCTCGTGCTTCGATGTCGCGCCCTCACCTCAAGTGCCTGCCTGAGAGAACGTGACCCATTCACCTTCGCCTCAGAATTTTCACCTTGAAAATCCTCTTCCTATCTCACTTCACGCATTCAGTTCATCTTGAAACTGCTTTTCCTGTCTTCGATCGGATCTTAGTGCTAGGGGATTCCTCTCTTGCCTCACTGACGAGGCGATATTTCAGCATTTCTCACCCGACGGAGGCCAAGCTCTTGGAGACAAAAACAAAACACCACCGTCCCCTTGCCAAACCCAACCCAATCAGCCCGAAATCTTCGTTCTTGCCGCCTCGCGACACAAAAATAAACATCATCACCACCTCTTAGCAGACTTTACCGGGCCTCCCCACCCGAGCCCAACCTGACCAGCCCGGGGCCCCGCGTCGTCGTCCTTGTTAGCCTGCGTCTTCGCCCTTGCCGTCACCACCTTCTTTCAACTTCGGTGTCGCCGTCCTCCACCCATCATGCCAAAGAAAGACCCCAATAAGCCCAGCGGACTGCTCGAGGGTGCTCTCAAAGCTCCCAAGGGCGCGTACGGTCCGAGAGTTAACCTCGATCACACGACCCTAGAAGTTTCAGGTGCCTCGCTCGACCACGAAGCTTCGGTAATGTTGGCTACGGTGCTTCGCTACGCTGGCCATATCAACTCTCTGCTCGGCAACGCAATTGCTTCCAACTGCTAGGTGCAGCAAGGGAAGCTTGCCAAGGGCGTCAAATTCGGTTTTGGTCCCCAGAACTTCATCGAAGGTATTCACGACAGCATCAGACATTGCCGATCATCAGTTGTGTGGGTTGAGGAGCTGGAAATTTTCAATGTCAAGGAGACCAAGCAATCGTCACACATAATCACCTCTTACTATCACCACAGGCATACCGACCGAAAGGAGGAGGATCTGGACAATCGGGTGACGAAAACAGTCGCATTCGAATCCCGACAAGCCAATCCTGATCACTGGAGCTGGAAGATTGAGAGAGGAAAGCTGACGGGGACCCTCTCCCAGAAGCGAAAAGAGAAGGTGGAAAAGCTGAGGAACAGCGGAAAGACCACACAGGAGAAGGTCAACGAGAAGAAGGAGATCGATGAAGATTATGAACAGCAAATCAATGATCTCCTCCGGAAAGTCAACTTCCGACCTGAGCCAGCTAAAGTGGACTTCGACGAGAACGCACGCAAGCAACAGATTTTGGCGAATACCCCTCCCCTGTGGGTGAACAATCAAAAGCACCGCATGTCAATCTTGGATTGCAATAGCAACTTCCGGAACAGCACTCCACCTCTCTCCACCGTCTACAAGATACACACGATTCGCGACCTCGTCGGAGAGGTCAAAGCTAGTCTGGACGCGGCCGAGGCACAGTTTTGGGATCTGCTCAACAAGTTCGAGAAGGCTGGTGACACCATCGACACCGTCAGAATCGACGATGACGACGAGAATTTCAAACATGTCCAGATCGCCCAAGTTGGAATCCTGGAATTATTTCTCTGGATGTTCCTCAACTCGGAAGATCAGCTTAGCAGTCTAGCCGCAGCAGCTAATCAGGGACCCCAGGACGTCTTTCGGCTTCTCTGTGAGTCATCTTCATTGTTGTACTATTCCGCTGTATTTTGACTAATAATGACTCCCCGATCACAGGCGGTTTCCCGAACCACTGGGATAACCTCACCAAGAAGGCACAATCAAGCCCCATAAGCTTGGCTGGCCAAGTCCGCTTTCTCGAGAGAAATACCGACCCCCGAGCCGACCTCCCTGACGAGATTGCTTCATGCACACCCAACGTTGTTTGCATCTGTTCAGGAGCCATATACGAGGAGGGTCCGACGGCTTCCCCGGTGAAGCTTGTACACCACTTTCATGTGGGGGCGACACTCCCAAAGTTCAAGGACTCTTGGAATGTCTACCATACGATGATCGAGAAGCAAAGGGGCGGTTACACCAAGGACGACGTGCCAGCCTGGAAGGCTATGGTGAAGAATTTCAACGCACTGGAGCAGGAGCATCTCTACAAGAAGCGTAACACAGTCAATGCTGTCGATCTTGATATGCTGAAAGACGAGCAGAAGAATGGCCTTCTTGCATTGCGCCACGATCTATATCGCAACAACCTTACCCCAACACAACGGAACATTCTCCAAAAGGGCATCCCCGCAGATTCCCTGGAAAATGAGGAAGACCAGCGCGAAAAGGCCCAACAGATTGAGGAAGAGAAGCGACAGAAAGCCAAGAAGAAAGAGGACGCGGAGAAGAACCCGGAGAAGGCGAAAGAGCAGGAGCAGTCCATCAAGCAAGAGGATACCGAGAAGACGCGCAGCGACAAGAAGCGCCCACCGAAGCCACCCATCCGCGTCGGCGTCTGCGACCATATCGTCCAGTCGTTCGTAGCCAAAAAGGACAACAAGGGACGGTTGGCCTTGGTTCAGGCATGCCTCTCATGTAAGTTGTCACTCAGACAGAAGGAAGCTATGGACCTGCCTAAGGAGGTCCTCGACGGTCAATTCCTTCACTTCGACACGGGCAAGAGGATCGCAAATCCAACCTCCTGCGCCGAGGTCCCAATGAGCAAGTTTTGCGGCATGGTGCTCAGAGATCCGTTGAATAAGCCGTCATGAGGAACGTGCTGTTACTGGTGTCATCCAGCCCGGCCGTTCTATGTCGCCGTCGCTGTCGTCGTCGTCCGGAGCATATACCACCAACACCACACTCATCAAGCCAGATACGTCGTGCACTCTTGGTTCGGGGCCCAAGATTGACTCACGAGAAATGATCACCAGATTATGGTGACGCGAGGGAAATGCTTGGTATTATTATTATTGGGGGTTTTGGTCTTTGGTTTCTGCGTTTTCTCTCTTTCCTTTTCTGCTTTTTATGTCTTTATGACGACTCAAGCCTTAATACCCCTTTCCTTTGTCATTTCCTTTCTCTTTTCATTTGTAATTTCTTTTCCCTTTTCTCTTCTCCTGTCTTTTCTCTCTCTTATCCCTTGTCCTTTCCTTCGTCTTTTCGCATGTACATAGAAGAAAATCCTCAAGATGACCCGTTCACACCAGTCGCCGTCCCTTTTCAGTGATTCCATCCGCATACGCCGCAGTGGAAAGTGAGATTCGCTGACGGATAGACGATTTCTCAGATGAAATCGCAGCCACGCAATTTGAAACACCTCAGTGGGAGGCTTTGAGCTGCCTGGCTTCTCTCCCATGGTACGACTACGAGCCTACCGTCTCAGCTGACTTGATCTCTAGCTTCTTCCGACCAACACGACAAAGAGCTCGCCAATGTCTCGATTCCTCTATGTACACCAGCTTCAATGTTCAAAGACATTCCATTCATAGCCCCGCGTAGGTCTTTCTGGGAGCAACGACTGCTTGTGGACAAGGTCTTGAATCGTCAAAGGACGTACGGCATCGTGGGAGACCAATGAATGCCAACTTTCTTGAGGTTGCAAGAGGAAACATTGTTCGTCATGCCTACTCCCATCCTATTGATTCAGAATACGCTGCAGCTGACAACGGACTGGCTTACAGATCTTCCTCGGATGAAGGAGCAGCGTCAAGAAAGACAAGAGAGACCGGGAAGAAACCGCTGTTCTCGACGAGATTCGTCTTTCCCCGTCACCTCTAGCCTACAGGTCGACATGTATACGCAGCAAAGAATGGTGGGCACCTAGCCATGCTACGATGGGGGAGAGGGAAAGCACCGGAACTATTGTAGAGTTGCGTAGCTACCAGGCCAGCATCGAACCTCGGGTGTATTGGAGCTGGCAAAGAGAGACGACCTGAGGGTGAACAGCACAAGAAGGCCGCTCGAAGGGCCTCGGACAACTTCGCCTTTCTCCGTCACTTTGGCCTCGCAGGTTGGAATACATACACGGGAGAAGATGACGGAAACCACCTGCTGGTCCCCTATCTGCGACTTGTGGTACTACGTCAGAGGCGAGGGCAAAGAGCGGGATCCTATCAGGTACGTGCATCGAACCAGCATTGAACTTCAGGGGTATTTCTCATTAAGTCATTATTTACATGC